TGGACTCGGGCGTGATGATTGCTCGGCCATCTGGCCTTCCGGTGTTGGCGTAAGACGACGCGGTGGCCTGTCCGTTCCCCAAGTGGCGATTTGTTTTGGCCAAATTGAACCTCAGCACCGAATATGGATTGGACAAATCGTTGCACTTGTTCATGGATTTGGCGGGCCGTGAACCATGACTTAAGTCATGATCACGAGAACTGGTACTTGTAGTACGCATTTGATTGCATGACCTCCACGGTCTATAAATACTTCGCATCATGTGCTTCTATCACCGTTATTTGCAGTTGTCTCTGAGGATGACTTCGAGTGAGATCCGAAACTTCAGGCCAGTAAACTTCTTGTTCCAGCGGTCGCATATTTTGATTACGTTTGTCCTGCAGCCAGGCCTGATCAGTGGGCGTCCCAATAATTTTGGCGACTGCGTTCGATGGAGGGTGAGCTTGTGGATTGCTGGCTTTGTTGGACTACAATTTGATTACAAGTGTGCGGACCTAGTTTATAGCCTGAGTTCTTTTGCTGCTATCCGCGTCCCTCTACTAATTACCTGCTCTGAGACCGCCGCCAGCAATAAATCTACGTTAGCTTCAACAGCAAAACAGGTGGGCCGAACTCGACACGTCCCACTCCCCCCCCCCTCCCTTGACAATTCCACTCATCAGTTCGGACATTCGAATGCAGCATGTCATAAGCGGGCGCCTATACGACGTTTTACGAATATGGTGAGTAGAGAACAAAAGAAAACAAATGCAAGCATCATCCTGTATCGGGTGGTGTTTAAAGTGGGGCAACTGATCGCCTTTCCAATTCCCAGCATAGTTCGAAATCTTGCCGGCCAAATTTTTTGGAATGCGGACCCAACCGCTCATTCAGGAGAGGAATATTGACTAACTCACGCGAAACTTTCACACATGAGCTTCTAGGTTTATGGTTAGGGTACGCAAGGAGAAGAAGCAACTGCAATGGCTGGAGCACGAACTTTATTCGCCTAACGTTTCGGATGATTACATCGCGGATCCATTTCCAGCAGCCATAGCAGAAATGTGTACTTCATACACAGGACGTTACAATATTGTGGGATACAGTCGCTATGCCACTACGCATACTTAGGATAATTAACGGCTCCCACCTATCGAGGATAGTTGCCCGCTTGTGCGCTGTTGCTTGATTGTCATTGTTCAGGTCATGATCTGCTGAGCTGTCATTACCCTTGGGCGTGATGATTACTCGGTCATCGGGCTCCCTGACGTTTGCCTATGCGCTCTCCGAGTGGCTAATGGCCCCAAATATGGGTTCGGGGCGGTCATTGCACTTGTTGATAGACTGGAGCCCTGTTGGGTGCCTGCGGCAAGCAGCCGCACTCACAGCAGGCTATCAATCGGCCTACACGAGACGAACGCATACAGGCAATCAAGCAGTCAATAATCCAAAATTTAAACTACATGCAGCCGCTAACTCACAGCCATTCGTGCAGGTAGCCAAGCCAGGACAGAGGCTGATTGGCTGATAGACCTAGCTTACACTCGTTTGTTGCCCTAAATATGTTGTACCCTGTACGCTCAAAGACTTGCGCTGACTTGCTGTAACGTGCTTGTCTGAGTAAACCCTCTCTCTCTCTGGCCGACTGGTCTTCTTTCTGTCTCTCTTACGGGCTCTTTGGTTCGGCGTTCGTGTTGATTTGAAGTACCAGGAGCGGTCTTAACAGGCCCGCAAATCATGGCTCAAGCAATTGACGGCTCACCCGATTGTCCTCTGTCACGATAATTTCTTTTGGCCCCATCAAATTTGAATGCCTGGCCGGGTCTCCTGTCGAAAGAGGCCTCACTTAAGAATTTTCATCATTCCACCGCACTGGTTTCAATCATTCGCGCCTGGAGCAGTCCTCCAGTTTTTCCGACGTAGTTTCTTTTTCGGCTCCTACACCAGATCCTATTTGGCTTACTTTTTTCCACTTTTCCTCCTCTATTCTTACCCTCCTGAATATTTCTCTGTTATTTTATTTGAGTTCACCCAGGCAGTATTCTCTCTTCGTCCGAGGACCATGTTTTATTTCTGAGTTAAACGTATTTGCCCTACTAGGGTTGACAAACGTACAAATTGAGTGTCTTTCATTTAGGCTGTATCTGGGTC